ATAGACGGCAAAATAAAACATTGCATCAGAGGAAAATATTTCTGGTGATATCTTGCAATTTAATATAGGTTTAAACCAATAACATACAGTCTATCTAATATAAACACTCTTTTCTTTCCATACTTTTTTTAACAAAGTACTTGGGGCACCCACCTATTTATGCTGTATGTACAAATACACACATCAATTTGTTCCTACCTGTAATAATGAATGGATAAATGTGCATTTCTCTGGTTAATAAGTGGGTCATGTTTAGCTGCATTACATCATATCCTACACAACTGAGCTTATGCTAGTTGTTTCTGACACTATTTCCTTTCACTGTTGCTCAAAACAGTAATGATTAGCCCTTGTAAACAGGCACTCTATGTAACTAAGAATCATGCCTGAAGTACAGTTATTTATACGCAGATGTTCCTATAGAAATTTATATGTTTTTCTATGTTTATATCCAATATATGAAAAGCACGATTGGAATATACACAGAAACAGTGAAGAAGAGAGTTAGTTGCAGGTGGTACAATACTTGTGGAGGAAAATGTATATAAATAAAGTTTTGTTTGTTAAATATCATAACTATGCTACTACGGCCTTGTGCATTTTTTATTGTCATTATTGTCAAACAATTAACTTGTGACAAAGCAGATTATATATTAATTCACTTGTCATTAGGCATTATTATTAGGCCTATTATATTTTATACCTAGCCCCATAGGGATTTTCAAGAGTTAAAAGTGTATATAATAACTGTATTTCAACCACATTATCCACTGCCTATGCTGCTGGATGGGAAACAACAAACAAAGAAGTAGTTGGAACACTATTGTTACAACAATTGTTATGGTGTGAATGCCATTTTTGAGATGGCAAAGCATGATTATAATTAATTTACTTATCATTAGTCCCTAAGGGACTACATATAAAATGTAGTATTATAAATATAATAGACCTAACACTAATGTCTGATGATAAGATATGGAGGTCTAACTTAAAGTACTAGATCATGTGAGCTAAAATGTAATAAATACCTTGTCTTTTATCATCAAAACAAATGTGTATTTCTTCTACAATGTGAATAATTCTTAAACTGAAAACAAGCTTAAAAAAAAAACGAATTTAGTAAGCAAATCTGTGTGAGATATATTTTATTACATGGTTGCTTCAAGTTGGGTTTTTATGTGTATATTCTCTCAGTTTCAGATAACTTTCCTTACGAAGTTCACTGTTGATAGAAGTTATAATTTCCTGTACCGAAAATGTATTTCCGATAAGTACTTATCTCCTCTCACATAAATAGCCATTTTCGTTCAGTGCTGTCCTCTATATGCAAAAAAATTACACATGCCACAAGCCTTTTACCTCCTCTCTATTAAGATTGACTGATTCCAATGCAGGACAAGGCTGCCCGATAACCTGATATCAAGAAGATAAAAGACACTCGATTGAAACAACGAGTAAGAAAATCCACAATATAAGGTACAGTGGGCCGATAGGCTGAAAATCCTCAGCTCAAAGACCAATGGCAGAAAATGTTTCATTTACATAGATATATTCTATGGAGGAAGGGCGATTAAACATGCCCGATCTTCTCGTCAAGGACCAGATAAAAACCAAGTGTGAAGACAGAGGACAGGAAGAGCTAGATGAAGCACTGGTAACCAAGATTGACAAAGAAGGGAGGGAGACAGAGGAGGAGGTAGCAGAGGGGTAAGTTGGAGCTGGAGAAGCCACAGAAACAATGGCTGAACTGGCCAGTAAGGAGTAATCAGAAGAACTTGACTCAGAGTGGTATGGATGATTGAAATCACCCAGTGAAGAAGTCAATTGGGAAGAGAAAAGTATAAGTATTTGTTGGTCCAATCCTGACTGAAAGCATCAACAGCAAGAGGATAAGGGACCAAAGACCAAAACAGAGGTAATTTGTAGTTGAGAGATGTGGCAAAGGCATCTATGTGAGGAGTACCCAACTGAAGGCAAAGCCACTGGAAACAACAGGATCGAGAGGCCACCCTGTTGGATAGATTTTGTGTAGATGGGAAAGACAATCCATGACAAGATTGAAAGCATCCGGAAAATGACATGCAATGATATGAACATCATGCATGTAGGCCCAAAAAAGAAGATCCAAAAACATAGGGATCAAGAACAGGTGCTACCCTGGTTATTGAGATAAGCAACCACTGTGGGATTGTTGGAATGAATCATTATCAGACAATGTCTGGCCAGATGGAGGAAATGAATCAAAGCCCAACATGCAGCTAGAAGCTCTAGGGTGTTGATATGACAAGACCTCTCGTTGGCAGACCAACACTCCGAAGTCTCCTGTTGATCGACCCATGTCCTCCATCCCTGAAGGGATCCATCTGTGAAGATATGTAAATTTGGACAAGGAGGAGGAGGAAGCAGGACACCCACCAATATGTGGATCCTGTCCAACCAAGGATCCCATGTAAGATTCCATAGGTCATGAAGAGCCCACTGAAGGATATAAGAGCTGTCATGGAATACCACATTCCCCAAAGCGATAAAACCTTGCAAGCTGTAATAGAGGGAGCAGTAAGAGCATGGAGAATTGAAAGCTCCATCAAATGAAGTTGAAGAGGAGAAGGTTAGGCCTGACTGAGATGGGAGTTGAAAAGACACCCAAATGGATCAGATACTGGGTAGGTTGAAGGTATGACTACTCCAATTTGATTAACCAGCCAACTCAAGCCACCTCCAGGAGCAGCTGATGAGTGTGATGGGCAGACTCCTGTTCGGAACAAGCTAACAGTAGCCGGTCGTCCAAAAATGATGAAAGCACAACCAGAGAGCATGTAGTTGATGAACAAATACTTGAACCACCCAACAAAAAACACACAGGGTCGAAACAAGCCTGAAGTTTAGTGTACGAAGCTGACAAATTACCTCACAATCAACAAACTGAAGATATAGTCGTGGCTACAGAGATATTGGGATATGCTAGTAAGCATTTGCAACATCCATCTTGGAGAAAAGGCCCACCTGAAGGTGAAAAACGATTCAATGGTAAAATTAGGGAGACTGAGAAATTGATTGAGGTGGGACAAATCTATTACAAGCCGGCAGTCTCCAGTTTTCTTGGGGACAACAAACAGCCTGGAATAAAAACCTAGAGAAAGATGATGAACAGAATCAATGGCCTGTTGAAGGGATCCCAAGGCAGGAGAAAGGAAATGGGTACCCGAGACAAGGGAGATGGGGAAAGAAAATGGAGGACAAGTCCCTCTGATAAAACCCAAATAACCTACTGATCTGTGGTGGAATATTACCAAAGGGGAACAAATTTGCACAATCGAGCTCCCACCTGACTGGAACCCACTGTTGGCATCATGCCCATCTATGTCAAATAAAATGACAAAATGAGAAACCACTGGAAAAAGGAACATGTAAGGGCTGAGAAGGACTACGATGGGAAATGGGAATAGGGACTTCTTGTGGTTCTGAATGCGACAAGTAAGCTACCAAAGAGGAAAGGGTAGAGTGCTGATGCACGGATTTCACATGTGGTTCCAAAGTCTCAGGTACATGGTCAAAAACATACCACCGAAGAAAAGGGACCATACATAAATCCCTGAGATAAGTGGGTAGCAAATGAACCAGGGACAAGATTGCATTGCAACCCAGAAGATCCCAACAACAAATAAACATGTGTAAAACATGAACCAAAGATGACAAACGAGCCAATGTGGAGGGAATAAGGAAGAGGCTGTACCTCAAAAAACCCACAGGATCTCGGTGTATTGCCTCGGAGAGGAGATGGGTGGTAGATAAATACCACAGAAGTGAAGTAAGGGTAAGACAAAGATGTGAAAACTGGGCACAAATTAAATGCACAGGAAAATCAGGAACCACCTCCCAAATAGGTAAAATACACCCCAACTGCTGAGAGTCTAGAAATAGACAGTCAGCTTGATGGTAAGCCAAAGCAAACTGATCCGTATCCCATGGGGGGTTAGCAATGTTGGCATCTTCAACCAATTGTGAGCCAAAATTCTAATTATCCTGGGAGAGTGGAAAAACTAAATAAGAAGAATAAGAACTATCATGTAACAAAGAAGGACGGGAAATTGGGAAAATGGAAAAAACCGGAGAAATCATGTCTAAAAATGCTGTGTAAGGCCGTTACCACTTTGGGTATCACACCCTTCGTCGCATTTATCAGCAATTATCTGCTGAGAGATTGTTTGTTTTTTGGTTCAACCACCTTTTCCTGAACTTGCCCCACTTCCTCCTGAACAATCCGAGGAAGATTTTGATAGCCTTTTTCCACCAACGGATTTTGCCATGTCTTCCTATGCCCCACCTGTGGAATCAGCTCATTAACCTCAGAATTCATTTGAAATTATGAAACAGGATTGTTTGATAGACAAAAGCAAATATGCAAGAAAAAAAATGAATAAAGACTGGAAAATGAAGTTCAAGTAAAAGGCATCAGCAATATAACCATAAATTACTTTAGAAAAATCCACTTCGGAAATAGAACTATTAAATTTACGAATGCAAAGCACACAAAAAGCAAAAACATCTAAACACAAGCACTGCCAAATGAGAAGTGATAGTTAAGAAGAATTGAATTGAGGTAGTCACATGCATAATGAGAGTGTGCCACACTCTTATTGGTGGTAGATTGTCGCATGATGATTTGCATGAGAGATGCATTGGAATCAGTCAATTCCAATGGAGGGGAGGAAAAAAGGCTTGTGGCATGCATAAAACATTTTTGTGCATATAGAAGGTAACGCTGAATGAGCATAGCTATTTATGTAAGTGGAGGTAATGTACTGTATCAGATTAATATATTTTTAAAACATACTCCTTGTACAATTTTCCTATAAACCTACACCTGTATGGGTTTTTGCATGTCTTTGTCTTTTGTTGTTCTTTGTGATTATTATTCCAAATTCTTTGGCACATATTGGCTTATTTTCATTTTTTGGTAATATGATTTATTTTTAGAGAGGAAATGCATTTTAATTCCTTTTCACAGATTGTCAGTAAAGTATGTACTTTTAAAGATTTCTTACCACTTACCTGACAAAGGCACACAGTATAACAATACACAACTGTGATTTATTTCTACTATACTTTATTTAACACTGTTTAAAATTTGAATTCTGAACATGTTTCATAGATACTAAGTGTATGATTTATCTTCATTGTGGGGTTCAGAAAGTAACTTTAAATAATTCCTTTGCAAATTTTTCAAAAAAGATGCTATAACTATATGACACTTTTTAGATTTTCTGGCATAAAGCAGTGAAGTTTTAAATATGGTCTACTTGCATATTTATTGTAACAAAAGCCACAAACTATGGTTTTCCTTCTGGTATTATTTTAAATATATTTTATGTATAAATTCTATGTCACAAATTACATAAATGCATGGTTTATCACAATACACAATCTAATGAAATTTTGAACTTACACGACCTGAAAACTCCATACCACAACTGTATGGTCTACAATTGCTGATATAGTAGATGTAACTTTCACACATTACAGAACTATACAGTTTATTCCTAATGCAGAAGTTGGAACTACCTAAAACGTTTTTCATACATCGTAACTGTACAGTTATTATCCAAATGCTATTTTAGTTAATTTTTTATTACATTACTGTTTGTAAACACACCACTATTAAGTTTATCCATACTATGGATGATCTTATGTCTTTTCAGAGATGATTTCTGTGAAAATTTCCTGTCACAGATACTACAGCTATATAGCTTCTCCCCTGTGTGGATCCACTGATGTTCCTTTAGTCGTCCTTCAGTTGAAAACGTTTTGCCACACTCCTCACAGTTATATGGTGTCTCTCCAGTGTGTATCCTCCGGTGTATTTTTAGCTGAGTATTTGTTCTAAATTCCTTACAACACACAACACAATCGTATGGTTTCTCCCCAGTATGTGTCATCAAATGTTGTTTTAGGCCACTATTGCTTCCAAACTCTTTGCCACAAGCAACACAACTAAAAGGTTTATCACCACTATGAGTATTTTGGTGTCTTTTCAAATATGCCTTCTGTGAAAATTCCTTGCCACAGACATCACAAATGTATGGTTTATCTCCACTGTGGACAACTTGGTGTCTTTTGAGTGAAGAACTGCATGAAAATTCCCTTTCACAGATACTACAACAATATGGTTTATCTTCACTGTGGATAATTTGATGTCTTTTTAAGTTTGAATTTTGTGAAAATTCCTTCCCACATACATCACAACAGTATGGTTTCTCTTCATTGTGAACAATCTGATGTCTTTTTAAAGATGTACTGCATGAAAATACCCTGTCACAGGCATCACAGCTGTACAGTCCCTCTCCACTGTGGGTAATATAATGTCTCTTTAGGGATGAAATTCGTGAAAATTTTTTGCCACAAATATTACAACTGTATAGTTTTTCTCCTGTATGAGTCAACTGATGTTTTTTTAGATATTCTGTCCTTGCAAATTCTTTGCCACACACTTGACAAATATATGGTTTAGTAGTACTGTGGATATACTGATGCATTTTCAAATATGACTTGTGAGAAAATTTCTTGCCACATACATCACAACTGTATGGTTTCTCCCCACTATGTATCCTCTGATGTTTTTTTAAAATACTTGTTCTTCCAAATTTTTTACCACACACTTCACAAATATACAATTTATTTGTCCTGTGGAAATGTTGAGGATTTTTTATTTGTAAATTCTGTGAACCTTTCTTGCCATATTCATCATCATAACAACATGGTCTATTCCTATTATGTATTTTCCAATGTTTCATTAGAACATTTTTTCTTCCAAATCTTTTGCCACAAAGAACACAACTGTATGGCTTATCTCCATAGTGGAGAATCTCATGTTGTTTTGTTTTATTCACTTTTGAAAATGTTTTGTGAAACACATCATCAATGGTTGGTTTTCGATGTTTGCTCTTCTTCATGTCTATACTAGGAGATTCTAGTGTGAAGATATGATAAGCTGGAAGTTGACTTTCACTGTGATTGGTCATGTACATATTTGGACCTAAGAGTCAAAAAAGTGGATGCAAACAATTATTTAATTGCTTACTATATATTAAGTAAGGAAGTTATTAATTTAAAGTTCTCTAATCAGTAAAATCAACTTTGAGAACAAGTACATTCACCTTCAACCAAAAGAAATCTTACTACCTTAATATGGTAAAAGCTTGATGAAAGAGAGGAGAACAAACAGCAATGAGAAGAACTTTTATGTAATAAACAGTTTTTGCAATCATTTCATACACCTCTAAAGTAAAAAATTGACTGTCTATTCTTTCAGAGTATTTCAAAAAGGGAGGAGACAGTAAATAGAATGGTGTTAGAACTCACCCAATACAAAATCATCGAAGTATGGTATATTGTTTTCAAAAAAAGAACCTGAAAGGCGTTTACATGGTATAATGCATAATGTAAAGATAAATTCAAGAGAAAGTTTCCAGCTAAAGTGGATGGTATCAGAATGTATCCATGAAGGAATTTTCAGGATAAGATTTATGGTGTCATAAATAATAAAAAAAAAGAAGTCTTGGTGGTCATGTGTGTAAAATAGTTGATGATAATACAACATATATATATAAAGAAGTTTTTAAAACACAGCAAGAAAAGTTTTTGGATTAAGAAAATAATGTTGAAACCAACCAGTAAGATGATTTAAAAGGAATATTGGATGAAGTTAGGAAAAACAATGTAGTATAAAATGAAAGCAAATAAGATTAGTCTACAAGCAGTAAATGAAAGCATCTATCCAACAATAAGGTGCACATGGGTGAACTAACTTCTTCACACAATAGTTCACAATCTGAGGGTAGAGGGTTCGAATTCGCATCCCACCAAACATGCTCGCCCTTTCAGCCGTGGGGGCGTTATAATGTGACGGTCAATCCCACTATTCGTTGGTAAAAGAGTAGCCCAAGAGTTGGCGGTGGGTGGTGATGATTAGCTGCCTTCCCTCTAGTCTTACAATGCTAAATTAGGGACGGCTAGCGCAGATAGCCCTCGTGTAGCTTTGAGCGAAATTCCAAAAAACAAACAAACAAACACACAATAGTTATGAAAGTCTTGATGTCAGACGCCATAAATGTGCCCTGACTATTGCAAAAGCCATAATTTGTGATTGTTTTCTTATTGTGTTATATTTGTGAACCTGAAAAACAACCAGAATCAACTGAGAAACGAAATGCTCAGAAAGAACCCTAATGTCAGTGAAAAGAAGGAAAACAAGATAGTCTAAAGACGAGTGTCATGTAACAAGGAAGGGATAGTATCATATGAAATAGGCAAAATGAGAAAATGGAAAACACCTGAGAAAGCAGAGTTTGGCCGAGTAGATTCCATAAGAGAGGCAAGGGAAAGCACGACAGTTAGGAAGAGTATTACAGACAAACTATTACAGAAAACTAACTGTAGTAAATGAGAGCCTACTGTCACATCTACAACCATCTCAAATGTCTTGAGAAACAGTACTCACCTGATACTAACCCAGAGTAAATTTGCTGCAATTCTTCTTTAGGTTCTTCAAATTTGTTTCTTACACAAGTAATATCATGCTTTGGACTATCTACATCATCATTTTCCCTCTCACTTAGTTGAGAAATAATTTCATCTTGATGTAAGTCATGCTCAGGTTTTATTTTGATAAATGAGTGCTGAAATATAAAAAAAAAACCAGATAAGTTGAAGCTGTGATTAATGAATACAAAAACAAAACTCTCCATACTCCACTAAATGTAAATATAAAACATCAACACACAGAAACATCTATAGATAATTGTCTGGCAAGTCTTTTCAGTAAAGCACAAGGCCTAGAAACGTACTTGAAGGGGAAAATACTAATACTATAAATGCAGATAACTCAGGTATGATGTCTCATGATTATAATACTTATTTATATTAAAAATAACCATGGAAAATCAGCATTCACGTTAACTACACATATTTCAAGGTTAAACTACTTTCTAATACTCTTATAATTTTGAATCCAAAACAGAGCATTAAAAAGGCATTTCAAAGACATAAATAGCTGTTAAATAATAATAAAAGCACTAGCTAAGACTGCAATGGCTTATACTTCCATTTACCAATATTTCATTTAACCATCTTCTTAAGAAATACTGTTTTGTGATAGTCAATCCTAGGCTAAATTGCACATTTTGTGTTTGTTTGCTCATACATAAAGCAAAATTTGAAATATCTTTTCAATTTTATGTTGTTAAGCTTATTAGAAGTTCAATTTTGAGATAGTCAGTTTTAATGCTATTTTTTCTCATATAAAATCAGATGTTAAAAAAAACAACCTATGATTCCTTACTTACTGATTAAATTTGTTGTGTCCCAACAATTCCAACTGTAAAGATATATTTCAGGTTTTTCTTTGACAAAGTTACTTTTTTTCCAAACAACCGATTAGAATTTATTTATTTTTATAACTGATTCATTCCAGGTTATGTCTTCTCATGTTAAGTTTTATAAGTTTATTTGGTGGTCAGTCATTCTGAGGCCTACTCTCTACTAATGGAAAAATAAACAGAAAATCCTCAGAAAATATTTTTATGAACACTGCATATTCCAAACAGTTACTGTAGAACTGGTAATGGAAAGTTTAATAAACAAAAATTGAAACATAAGGGCACTTTTACATTTTCTAATACAACTTGGAGATGAAATATATAAAAATAAGTGTACTATATCTGATAACACATCCTTGTTAACATTATTTAGAGGGATGATTCACTTTGCCCTTGAACTTTACATGAAGTCTAAGATCAATTTTAGAACTCTCCATTGTATACAACAAAAGCTGTATTACAGCACTCACATAAATTCAAAAACTTTAGTCACAGATTTACTCATGAAAGGTAATATGCTTCTACACTGTAATACACATGAAATAAACAGTTAAAAACAGCTCTGAATGACTTTGCCAAAAACAAAACAGTTAGGGTACTTGTTAGTGTGATAAAAAGTTTCAATGTTCAAGATTAGGTATTTGTCTATTAAAATTATATTACTTCATCACGTTGTATTATTTGGTAATTTTCATTTAACCCTCTTTCCCAAGATATCTTTTCCTGCACGTCACAAGGTTATAATGAGTTACATTCAAGATTCAATTAAACTACTTTCTTTTCATGGTATACCAATAAACATAGCATAATAATGGAGCTAATAACCCATATTTTAATAGTATACAAGTTTTAAGTTCTTACATTTATAAGGCAATATTTAAAATCTAGAATTTTACCTAGTATGAGAATTGTAACATTTGCTCTCTATGCATCCCCCTCTTCTGTAATTTATTTACCACCCCCTCCAAGAAGTACAAAATTTACATTAATAATGGTTGGCTTCCTCATCATGAAAATTAGAATTTAAAGTAAATGACTTATTATAATATTGTCATCACTCAGGCAATGCATAATTTTCACAGCCTTCAATCTTATTTGGTTAAAGAGCTACGAAATTGACAACCAGACCCTCTTGTGACACCCACCTGTCACATACTCTCTTTCAGAAATTGTCCATAGTCCTCTCTGACATTCAATGCTATAGGTTTTCATCTACCTAATGACATATTATATTATATTGTTTTCTGAAAAGAGAATTATCAATTTCACTTTCAGTTCAAGCTTGATTCCCAAAGGAAACACATCGATGAGCTTAGAAGAAGTTTTAATGGCTTTTGTCGCATAGTTGGAAAGTCAGGAAAATTGTGATTGTTATGGGACATTGTTTTTTGGTGCATTATTCAATTAAATAAAAAATTATATAGTGCAGTATTACCATTAGTATAAAAAAGTAGGGTTAAGTGTTATCAACAGTCAACAGCAAAATAAAGATTCAAGAAAGTACTTTTTTCTTCTTTTTCATGTGTATTCTTTATTTCTTATTATAAAATTAACTAATATGTAAAAATAACAAACTTTTATCCTAGTTAAGGTTAGATTAGGTGAAATAAATAATAATAATATAATAAAATTGTTTCACAAGGTATGCTCTCGAACAACTTGTGCATAATGTAATTTAATAGTGTAACATGAGGTGCACATTCTCCAAGTGAGTTAAAACTTATAATGATGCAAATAGTAGTTAGACAGGGTTCAAAGGACAATAAAATGCAAGTATAAATAGATGTATACTATTACGAGTTGAAAGCTATTTAGAATAACCAAATGTAGTTTCATGTTACAATTTCAAGTCATTCTAGAAGGAAAGAAGGATAATTTAAATTTATTTAATTTTTTTTTGTGGTTACAAGGTCAGTCAAATTGACCAACCTTGTATGAAGTTAGGGAAGAGAAAGTAACAGATAAAACAAAGTTTTAATGAAAAAGCATTTGAAATTTATTTATAAAATTTTAGAGATTATGCAAATAAAATTTGAGATTTTTGGGAGAAAGAAAAGTATTTTTAATCTTAACGTGGAAATCACTTAGCACTTGAACTAGTATACAGAAATACTAGATATATTCACAGACAAGTCTTTTGTAAAAAATATTTCTTTAAAACAATCTGAATATTTGTGTACAAAAGACTTGTAATTTTACTAAAAGTCTGCGAAATTTTGTGAAGATACACAAAGTATATTAAAAGATATGGTATGGAAACTATAATGAGTACAAAAGTGATTACAAGGTTGGTCGATTCAATCAACTTCGTTGTGAGAGAGTTAATATATAATTTTATCACCTTGTTCTACTTGGTAATGTTCTGTTTAACCCTTTTGCCCGAGTTGTCCATTACTGCACATGACACAAGGTTTTAGTCTTACATTCAAAATTTTATTAAACTACTTTTTGTTTATGTTATACCAATTAGAATAGCATAAAATCTTAGCTAATAATACATATTTTACTAGTATACAAGGGAATATTAAAAAAATCCTGAATTTCTACTAGTGTGACCCACATGACACATTTTGTCTCAGCATGTCATCATCCCTATTTTATCCATCCCCCTCGGAAATGTATGAAATTAAATGTAAATTACTATCTATAAAA